AGAAGGGATTCTTCCTTGTAACGTGTGCACTTATTTCAAGACAGGGTAGTCCATTGGCTGATCTCAGTGAGGCACTGCACACTGGCTGAGAAATAATCCTGTTCCCTGATGACAAGAAGTACCAGAATGAAGTGGAATATGCCTTGAGCTCAAGCGACCATTTCTTCTCCTACCATTGATAAATCCATCACAGAGCACTCTCGTATTCACTGACACCACACCCTCGCTTAGCTGCTGAACAGCTAAACCAGCCGTGCCAAATAGATCCTAACTGTACTTCTTCAAGCAGGGAATGTCTCAGCAGCGATAGTACTGTTCTGTTTATTCAGAGGGACATGATAGTTGCTTTATTTTAGCCTGATTTCCTAAGGACATAAGGCTTATTAAATCATCAATCTCCACACACACATGTATATGCTCAATATAACTCTACTGACTTCTGTTCAAATTTCACTGAGGGGAAATGCTCTCAAATGTACGTTCTTACAAATGTCACAAAAACAGGTGGTAAGATGAAGAAGTGAGACCTCAAGCATACCTTAGTTGGGGCAAAAAATAAAGCTTAAGGGCAATGCCTATCTTTTTCCAACACCAAAGGATCCACAGGAGAGAGGCTTTCTTCATGCCTCACTAGAAGAAAGATCTAAATCAGTATTAATAACTTCTCAGATCCTGCAACCAACAAAAAGAAACAAATCCACAGGAAGTCAGGCTCCTTCAGTTCTCATGCTCACAGCATGATTGTTTTACACTTGTATTTCCAGCTTCTTCTGTCTCCCCAATCTCATCTATTTTCTGCTCTGTGTTTAACTAGCACTCATTTTGGCTGAGGGCCAGGCAGTAAGCAATTGCAAGACACATTGTCTAGCTATATGCAGCACAATTTGGAAAGAAATTCAATTTGACCATGGCTCAGATGAAGGAGTTAGCTCTGAGGATGTACATCCAGGCTGTCCTGAGAAGCAGCCCCAAGGGATTCTGAGGATGGCTTCCAAAACCTGCCCTGGTACCATCTCAGTGCCTCGGCTCAGTGAGGAAGTGGACTCGGCCCACAGAGTTCATCTGTGTTAAAGGCAAACTGCCATTGCCTGAAAGCTCTAAAATTTAGTAATTCTGGTTTGTTGATTTCACTGTTCTGCTTGCAAACTTTCGGGGGGGGGGGGGGCCCAATTTATACATTAGTGAGAGACGGGAATGTGGCTTTAGGAGGTACAGAACCCCAAAGGGCTACATGCATTTGCTTAGTCATAACCTGTTCTCTGGTGGACAATGTACTTACCTCATTAAGAAGGTAATTTGCATATTCATTAGTATATACTTACGTGCCTGGCTTCTTAGCTTATCAAAGGGAGTGTGTGTCGGGGAAAGGCATCCTGTATTTCATGGTATGTAAAGTTTACTCATAACCTTGCCCTGGTAGCCATGTGGTACAATGCAGACATGCAATTCATCTCTGAGTCACTGATGGATTCCTCACTGTGTTTTACTGTACAGGTACAGAGCATATCATCTCCCCTTACAGGTTTATTTAGCTGCATTTCTCCAAATCCATTTGAACCTTTGTAATATCACCTTGAAGTGATTTTTTTTTTCCTCAGGTTATGTTAGCTCCTTAGACAGCTATAAACTGGCTTAATTTTCTTGACTCGCACCATGTTTTATGCTAGCTTCACTGAACACCCCCCACCCACCCCAGACCTTTCAACATAAACAAAATAAAACAAACAGCAAAATCTCAGCTCAGTTTCTTCAGCATTTCAGTAGCTGCCCTTACATCAGTTTGAAACACCACAAACCTTAGGTAATTAGGCATTTCAGGTTTTTATGTGCAAAATGTTCATCTAATGAAGGAGAAAATAACTGATGCAAATTGCTTTCCCCCCCACATCCCCCAAGCTGTTTGCAAGATTTCCAGGTAGACCACAAACTCATTAGAAGACAAGTAGATGAGACGCAGGCAGGGATCAGCAGAAACCCGGTGTAGCTCTAATTAACAGTCTAGCCAAATACCTAGGAAGAATAGCCTGAGCCTTCAGCATCCAGAAACCTGTTCAGCTGTCCCTGATGAGGGATCAGAAAGCTTGGTTGTAACCAAGCACAGAAGGGTCTCTGTGAGGTATATTTACACTAATGTGCTAACAACTCTGTTCTTTGGTAGCTTACGTATGGGCCTGTCCTCAATACAAACAATTAAAAACCCCCACAAGACCATTAGTCAGTAGCTCAAAATAAAAATTTGAAAGTTTTGCATTAATGAGCAATCAAAATTCAGTGTTTATCAGAGGAGAAAGAGACCTAAATCCATTTACATTATGTGCAGATGCCCTCTACTCACAAGCTCCATCACCTAAACATTCACAATAGGAACACAAAGAGCTTTTTTAAAATTTACTTGGCTACCTCAGCAGAAACAGCAAGGTACTTAGACAGGAAACATATTTGCATTTTTAAATCATGACAGATGCTCTTTGCTGCAGGTCTGAAAAAATCAGAATCCCTGGTTCTGAACCATCATTCTTCTAGTGAAGATTCCCAGCCACAAGTTCTTTATTCCAAATAAAATGTCACTGAAACTTCTCATCTGTACCAAATTTAATCCCCTCAGCACCATGACTGTTCTAGCAGTGTATGTGACAAATAGCCTCTAAAAAAATAAACCTTTCCTTTTTTTTTTTAAAGGATTATGGTTTGGTTTGGGTGTTGTGGGGTTTTTTTTAAAGAAACTAATAATACGTGAGAATGAGTCACCTGTTGTCCAGCTGGTTGGCAAGAATTACAAGATGCATGTACTTAGCATGATCCTTGCTTAAGCTGCTCAGTCAGAACAGAAGCTACATCAACCCCAATAACCAGCACCAACCACAATTTCAGGACTTCATCAGCTATGGTGAAGGAGAGACCTCCTCTTCCCTTCTGTTCGGTGTCACACCATGACACCTATGCTATAGCTTTTTGCACCTTTTTCAGAGTTTGGTCAGCGTTGGAGGCAAGACAATCGAGTTCACGGCCCCGTGGTTATAGAGGCAGCAAGTTAAGACACCAAAGTGTCGGGAAACATCTGACTCCCTGCAAACACAACTCAGTTCTCAGCAAGACTGGCCACCTCAGCTCCTGTTCTCTACACAACAGATAATGCGAATAAGGAAGAAATAAAGGCACATCCTGAAGGCAGAGGGCTGTTTGTCCTGCTACAGACCAAGCTGGGGCTCACTAATACCTGATCCCTTTATGTCCAAGGCCTGTTTACCTTCCCTTCTGCATGGATGAGGAAACACTCTCCCATGGAGCTATGCTGGTGTCTCTGTTGTGAACAGTGAGAGTGCCGTTCTGCCATCCATAGTCTCCATCCCACCCTGCTCTCCTTCCCACCTCC